TGTTTCTGTCATCATTTAAAGGTTTCTTTTTTTCCCACCCTAAACATAGCAACCTTCATTACCAGGGATGCAATTAAGTTGATAATACAGATCCCTGAGAAAGACAATGTCAAAAGGCAGAAGTGTGCTGTGTTAATTTGCCATCAATGATGTTATAGTTGAGAATGGTGGCATTATGAGAATTTGAGAATGTTTTTGGCTACTGTTGAATCTTATTATTTACAACTCATCACTTATGACTCAAGTCCTGGTATTCAACATGCAATCTGTCAATTGCATTGTATCAAGTTTCATAAGAGAAGGCAGTAAACATACAGATACCTGTTGCACAGTCCCCTAGAAACCAATACTCTGTGTAGGGCTCTATGAAATTCTATTTTGATTAGGTTGTTACATCTGGGACAGAACTGCAAATAGTATTTGGCGGAGGAAAAATGTGGGCCTGTATAATGCTGAGATTAAAGTCTGTCCAATAATACAAGCATGTCAGCTGGGACAGGTCCTGTATTTATAGCAGAAAGGCCACTGAGTGAGGATTCATCATGCAGGTTCAAGGGAGGTAGTGTCAATTACTTTGGGACCTTTTGTGATAACACTGGATGGACCACTGAGAAAGCGCCATATTTAATCTATTTTCTGTTTAAGTGGACAAAGACCTAGTAAATACAGTAGGAAATAATCCCATTTGGGTAGAAAGGGGTAAGATGGGCAACAATGACCTCATGCTGCAGATCCTCTAACCTTCCCACATTTATGATCCTATGATGTGCAAGTCTAATTAATAAGGTGACTTCTCAGAGTATTTCATGCTCTGTGCCTTACATAACTCTTTCAGATGGCAAGTTATATAGCTTTAACTGCCATGCAGAGGGAGAAGGTAAGAAGTGAGGAAGTGAATAGGTTCTTGAATTAATGGGTTTGACAGGGGTGTATCTTGGTGGAGGATCAAGCTCTGGTGACTTATGATGTCTAATGTTACCCTACAACAGGATGATTTCCCAATTAGTTAATTTCTTGATCAAGCACTGTGCAGCTGAGTATAAGAGAACAAAAATGAAAAACATGTGTATAGTAATCACATACCAATAGGAGGTTCACTAAGAGGTGTGTGTATCCATATACCATGCATGAGGATCTTTGTAACATGTTGAATTATCCCTCAGATCTAATAAGCATAATTGACAGAGCCTGCATATGACCACAGGTGGGAACAGCTGGTGGGTACTTGCCAAGAGCAACACATTTAACCAGCTGCCAGTAGAGCTTGCCAAAGTGGGGTCACCGTGGAGCAGCTGGTCTTATGGATTGAAGCTAAAAATTTGTCACTAGTACTTCCCGATTGTCACCTGCTAAAATTCCAGTAGGATCTAACTCTTTTTTTTTAACATTTATTTATTTATACATACAAGAGCTGGGGTACAGGTTAGAGGCACAGGGGGTGAGAGGATTCACCAGAGACAGAATGGGGAACAGAACAGGTGGAATTACTGAAATACAGTACTGAGGGGAGCAGCGGGAGAGACAGGAGAGGTCTGCTGCATCATGTGGGTCAGCTCCCTGGCTGGGAATTGAACTCGTGCTGCAATGGCTGCTTATAGCTTCATAGTGCTGAGACTAAGCCCCTTGCACTGTCAGGGAGGCCACAGTAGATTCTAACTTAACTGGAGGGACATAGGCAAGTTTATTCTTCATTTCTGAGCACCCAATGTACGGAGAGTGTCTCTGGCTATCAAGAGGGCTGTTAATCTGACTGTGGAGGTGAGCCTGCACAATGACCCCATCAGCATGCATGCCATTTTCTGACTGCAGACTTGTTTAAAAGGAGGTACCACTCAGTTACTAGAGAAACTCCAGAAGTGATGCTCTTTCAAGCAAAAAAAAATCTGGAAACCTTCAAAGTGGCGAAAAGAGTTGAATTTGTTAGCTTTAAATAGTTAGATTAAACCCCAATGTAATATGGATAAGTATGAGATGTATGTGGCAACATGAGGACAGTAAACTATCTTACATGGCACACTCATTACATGTTTTACATCTCATTCCCCTTGCCACTGCCTCCTGCCTCTAACTTTCTCTACTACAACTTCATTACATAGTTTTCTCAGCCCAATTTGACACAATTAATGTTTCATTATATTGAAGATGTATCTTGTTTTCTATTAATGGAAATTATGGAGCATATCATGGCACACCTTTTGATTCTTTTGACTGAGATGGAGCTTTCCTTTGCTTCACAGAAATTCACATACAACATTCTAATCTGACCCCTTTTTTGGTCAATTACTTTGATATACTATAACACAATAGCAAAGTGCTAGAAATCTCTCTATTCCAATTGTTTTTAACCCCTAGCCCTGATTTGGCTTCAGTATGAAGTTTCTTAGATGACATGAAGCCATTGTATCAGAAGCTTATGCAATACTGACATAATACTAAAAGGCTGTTGTATCCATTTATGAAAATACTAGTATACGAATTTTATAACTAATAGTCTGTTATATCTACTTTGAAATTGCATAGCACTACCTTTCTGCATCATCTACACCCTCCCTCTGCTTGGATTATAGACTGTGTTTTCCTTTTCTAAAACCAGAATTCCTGGAAAACTTCATTTTATGCTGCTCTTCCATCCATCAAGCAAAAGTTGTACAGGGATCCTCAAACACTGCAGCAGATCCTCATAACTTCCCCCTATACATGATGTACTATTATTAATAATTATACTAATATATTGACATAAATATATTAATAATGTTGATAATTATATTAGCACCTTAATATATTAATAATATATTAATAATGAAATATTAGTTAGAGCATGGGGACCTAAAGATATGGGGACCTAAAGATAACTAATACATACCTTCCTCTTTAGGTCCCCATATCTTTGTTTCAGCTATTCTCCCTTCTTCCCCCCTTACCATAATAAAATCCTTGAGTTTGAGCTGGCTGTGGTGACCCAGACAGAAACTACATTTCCCAGGCCTCCTTGAAACTCAATCTGATTAAGTTCAGCAATTGGGATGTGAATATGTGAGTGGACTGATGTGTACAACTTCTACATTGTGTCATGTAAAGAGGAAATTGATTATGTTCCATTCATTTTCCTCCTTTCATATGGGTTAGAACATAGCCCTAGTGCTGGTGATTGTTGGCAAATAGCAAACAAAGAAAGAAGCAATCTGAAACCCAGCTGACCTCATGATGCAGAGCTTTCTGCTGGCTCCAGGCTGCCCGCCTACATCTGGACAGAGAAATAAATACAATGCTATCTTGTTTGAGTCACTCCATATTTCAGTCTCTATTACAATGGCTTTATACCCTAACTAATATATACCTTCCTCTTTAAGGTCTCCATATCTTTGTTTGAGCTATTCTCTCTTCCTGGAATGTCCTTAATGATTTAGCGATTGCCCACTTGCATTTGTAAGGACAAACCATGTGATTCTCCCTTTACTGCCCTATGTGACTACAGAATTTTTCACAGTTTCATCTGTGAAATTCATTCTTATTAAGCTCATATCCCAGTCAATTCTGGAGAGTTTGTTGTCATGCCACTCAAGCTGTTGAGTTTCTCAAGAGGCAAGAGATGTTCATTTACACAAGAACAACAACAAAATAATAATAATAATAACAATAATAATAATACATGTGTAATCTAAGAAAGGCCAATTACTTTTTTTTAAAGATTTATTTATTTATTTATACAAGCACTGGGTACAGTCAGATGCGCGGGAGGGTGACAGAATTCACCAGAGCCAGAGCGGGGAACAGAATAGGCAGACCAACGGAATACACTGCTGAGGGGAGCAGTGGGCGCGGCAGGAGAGGTCTGCACGCCACACGGGACCCTCGCCAGCGGCTGGGGATCGAACTGGCACTGCAGAGGCTGCGGGCAGCTTCGCAGCCCAGCGCTCAACTGCTGCACCACCAGGGGAGGCCCTGATTAAATGTTTTAAGTTGTACACTTAATGGATTTTGTATATTGCTTTTAAGTAACTTTTAAATTCAATGGTCTCCTGCTTCTGTCTATATTAATGAAGGAAATAAAATCAGCATCTTGAGGAGGTATCTGCGCTTGCACATTCATTACAGCATTAAGGACCACAGTCCAGGAAACAACCTGAGCATCCATTTGTTAATGGATAAATATACAGATAAATACAGATAAAAATAAGGATAAATATAAGGAAAATGTGATACATACACATACAAAGGAATATTATTCAGCCTTACAAAAGTAAAGTATGTTATTCTGTCATTTACAATAATGTGAATGAACCTGGAGGATGTTATCCTAAGTGAATAGATACAGAAAGATGAATAATGCATTAGCTCACTTACATGTATAATCTAAAAAAGTCCAATGCATAGAGGTAGAGAATAGAAAGTGGTTACAAGGTCCTTGGGGATGTGGGACACGGAGGAGGCAGTCCAAGGGTACAAAGAATCAGTTACACAAGATGAATAAGTTCTGTGATCTAATGTATAGCATTGTAACTACAGTTATAACACTATATACCTAATAATTTCCTTAGAGAGTATATCTTAACTATTCTCACTAAAAAAAGTGATGACTGTGTGAGATGATGATACATTAATGAGCTTGATTAGGATAATCACTTCCAATAATATTGCATATCAAACATATATTATACACCTTAAACATGTACAATTTTTATTTGTTAATGGTATCTCAATAAAGCTGTATAAAAAATCAGTGTGCTAATTATCATTTAGAATTCTTTAGGAAAATGCCATAGCTTTTCAATATTACTTTGTAAAGTGAAGAAGTTGAGCTAAATTAGAGGCTACAAGACTTGCAGCTACCAATGAATTTCTTTGCTTCATTTTTTTTGGTTTGTTTAAGTTTTTGGTCAATATGCTGGTTCTCTGTAGAAGTAGGTGATGTGCTTATATGCACTCATTTGGATGTAATATCTAACTATCTCAAACTAGCTGATTAATAACAATTTTGATAGTAAGGTTATATGGAAAAGTTTTCATTATAAGTATTCCGAAGTGCAAGTTCTTACCTATGGCTAGTTGATATCCTTATTCCTACAGTGTTTCTCCTGTACATGACAGGCAGTGGAAAGGTGGATAGATACTGCTGTGCAGAAACTGAAAGTACTTCTCAGAGCCAGAGTGTGACATAGAATGTGCTGGGAACCTAGAGATGGAAAAATTTGTTAATAAGCAGAATGATGGCAGTTAAAGGATAGAACAGTCAATGCCAGGCTTAATGAGGTGATCCTTCCCACAGTGAATGAAATTGTGACTGTCGGAGGGAAGTCACAGTGTAGTCCATATAGTGGAGATGGCGTCACAGAAGGGTTAGGTAATGATAAATAGTGATCTTCATGACTTTCTGGGCTAATTCATGTTCTGGAAGCAAATCTTATGACTGCTATCCCCTATGACTGGTGACATAGGGGCATAAGATCCTGAACACTAGGACTTGAATGAACTACAGTGAGCAGTTGGAGTGGTTATAAGGGGTACAGGCCTTACCTGCTGGGACATAGAGTCATTTTCATAGAATGAATGTCCCCTGTGGTTTCTGGATCCTAGACATTGCTAAAAACAGACATATGCCTGCTGCTTCTCAGTTAGCTTTCTGGTGTTAATGTTTTGGGCATAGAAGATCTCTCAGGAGGAGCAGCTTCTGCCAGCCTGTGTCAGGGCTTCTTCCTTCTGAATCTTCTCCCTAAATTATAAGAGTATGTAAGTAGAGATGATAGAAGTGACAGTCTCAAATGCATCCAATTTTGATTCTGTTGTTCCTGGTTGTAGAAAGAGTTTTCTCTTTTCAGGTGAGTTGGTTTCTATGAAGTGGTGACTCCAAGCCTTAGTTTGTTTCAACTCAAACTGTTTTCATTGACTATTTGTAAAAACAACTAATGTCAATGGTTACTGGTAGAATTTGGCTATTGGGGAAGAAAGCACAGAGCTGAATTATTCCTGTCCAAATCCTCTAGTCAAATAATGGTTCATATCTATTTGGACAATACAAGGATACAAGATTTAGTTGGAGGAGATTTGGGGTAGACCTGGAACACAAGGTTAGGATGCCCCAGGTATAGCTTCATAAAGGACATTCCCTGAGAAGATTGGTAATTGTTAGAGAGGAACAGGATAGACTTCAACTATCCCTGAATAACTTTATACCAAGGGATTTTCAGTTCAGATCGTTGGATTGATTGTCTGTGCCTAGATACTCTATAGCTATACCAATCCTCAAAATCTCCCCTCCAGTATTGCAAACTCATCTCTTTGTTTGACTCACTTAATCCAAGATTTCCTGAGGGATGCATGAGGGCAAACCCTGGGCTACCCAGTAAATCAGGATGTCACAAAATAGCATGGGTGCCTCAGAACACAGGTCCTCTTTTTTGATTCTCTTCATTAGCTAAAAGCAAGAGGGAATTTCATGACACAAAAAAATTCCCCATTGCTCAAGACACATCTAGAAGACAGGCCTCCCATTTTTTTTCTATTTTTTAAATAATTTAGGTTAACTATTAAGCTTCACAGAAGAAGGATGCTCTCTGAAGTTTGTCCAGGAGCCTGGGATTCATCGGTGGTAAGAAGTCATTCTGAATAGTGAGTGCACTGGGACCAAGGGACAGCTTCCTGTTCTTCTACAGGAAGAGTGCAGAGGCCTCTGGAAGAGAACTGGAAAGCCTAAAGAACTCTTGGAAAATGTTTTCTCATGCCAAAAGGTCTTGGCTTCAAACTCAGACAGCTACTTTCCTGCTTGGCAGGAAAAGAAGAACCCCAGAAATCAGGCCTGTGGTTATCTGGAAATTAATTACTAACTGTTTCCATTGACCAGACAGTATTCTATATGCCTTATGTATTATTTCATGAAATCCTCACCCACATTACAAAGTGGGTGCTGTTATTATAATTTTTATTATTATTAAAATCCCATTTTAGAGATAAGAAAACTAAAGCATAGGAAGATTAAAAAAAAAAAAAAAAGAAAGAAAACTGCCCAGATAAATGCCAATAGCATGAGGAGTAGGGATATGATTTAAATGTAAGGAGTTTGACTCCAGAATATGAGATTCTAACCTCTGCACTGCAGCTTCTTAAACTCATTTTCCTTCTCTAGCCTCAAGACTGGGTTTGGTAGAATAGTGAGGAGATGTCCTAGGAGGTAAACCAGGTCTCAAGGACTGCTCCAAGAATGATACCCAACTTTATTATTTCCTAGGAGCTTGCAGATCTGGTCCTGGGAAGGAAGAACAAGCATGAAGGAATTTATGAACTATGCATCTCACTGTGAATCACTTTTTTTTAAAAAAGATTTATTTATGCATACAAGAACTGGGGTACAGGCCAGAGGTGCAGGGGGTGAGAGGATTCACCAGAGACAGAGTAGGGAACAGAAGAGGCAGATTGGTTGAAAAACACTGCTGAGTGGAGCAGTGGGCGAGTCAGGAGAGGTCTGTTGCGCCATGTGGGTAGGTAGCTCCCTGACCAGGGATCGAACTTGTACTGCAGGGCTGCATATTGCTTCATAGGTTGTATCTTAACCCCTTGCATCACCAAGGAGGCCCTCACTGTGAATCACATTTATAGCACATTTATAATATCTCTTGGATATTTTCTTCTAAGTTGCCTTCTGTCTTGTTTCTAGGCTGTGCGCAAGTGGGTCAAAACAACAGGAGCATCACCTTCCCAACTAGACTCCCACATTTTTCCCACTTCGCCCTCGGCCATCACTCTCAGGGCTGGCGTGACCTCTTCCAACACAATCTGCTTGGCTCATCCTGTTCCTTAAGACATTTCCATGGATTTCAAGACTTTATATTTCTAATTCCTTGACTCAGCATAACACACTGTCCATGATCAGAACCCCCTTATTTCTCTCATGAGTTCCCTCTTTCCCTACTACACCACATCCACTTTCAAACCTGTACTCTAACCAAACTAAAGAATCTTCAGATGTGTTCCACATCTACAGAAAGCAGCACATACCACTCTCCCTGTATGTAACTTGCATACATCTTTTCTGCTCCCACCCCCACCATCATTTGTAAAGCAATCACTCACACTTTACTATAAAATCAATGTTATATCTTTTTTGCTTCACAAATAAGAAGCATCTGTTCTTCCCTGATCTCCCATAGCACCCTGTGAAAAGGACAAACTCTGGGGTTAGACCATGAGGATCCATACTCTAATTCGGAAATATATAAGTATTGTGAACTTGGACCAAAAAAAAGCTAAATTCTTTAAGTCTCAATTTCTTCATCTGTAAATGGGGTTACTAAAGAGATTTTGACATTGAATTGATGGGAAGGGTAAATGCTGTAGAACATGACAGGCACATATCTCAATGCCAGGTGCAGAGTAAATATCAGATAAGCAATGGCTGTTATCCGATATCAGTGTTACAGTTATCATCCTATTCATCTCACTGTTGGATAATTGTCAACCCACACACATGCATGTCTTGTTCTCTAGATGTACACTTCTTGAGGATACTATCTGCGTAACTGGATTTTATATTCTGAGCACCTGGCATGGTGCCTGCCATGTAACAGGTGCTCAATAAACACTTATTGGATGAATTATAACACAATTATCTGCCATCTGGTTTGTCCGAAGACACATATTAACAGGATTGAGCTTACTGATCCCCCATTCCATCATCCCATCTGCTTTTATATTTAGGGGCTGGGGTTTACCTTGCAGTCCCTTGTGGAATCAGTTCACACAGGACCTGCTGTTCTGTTCTCACTGCCTCCCATGACCCCTGCCAGGTAGCCTTGGCATTCAGAAGATTTGACTGCTGGGCAACCATTGGAAATGCAGGATGGCTGCTTCCTCTCCAAGTAATGCTGCTGACACCTGCTCGCTTCAAAGTAAGCGTGATTTGTAGATATGAAAGTTCCCTTCTCTGTCCCAATCCAATAGTGATCATTTCACACCCATTAACCACCCCTCATACCCTCCCCCTACACACAAACATAACATAGGATACCATTTCAATAGTTAGGAATGACAAAAGGAACTTATTTCATGGCATATAGCCCAACAGTAGATATCATCATTCCTGAAGTCAATCAACTATTTCCCCTAACTAGCCATTCTCTCAGGAGGCACTTGGCTAACATGGCCTTTCTTTTTCATTCCTTCCCATTTCTTCAGTTTCAAGACTTACCACATTCTCCTGTGTTCTCCAGACATAATTCTCCAATTCTGATTCACTTACTATGCATACTTCTTCAAAACTACAAGGACAATTAACATGCATCCCTAAATAAGAACAATCTAAGCTCAAGATCCAACCTTTGGTAAAACAAAGAATCAGAAACTTTGGAATTGCATTTATGTTTTTTTCTTTAAGGACTTGGAATATTTGGAACAAATTTGAACAATCTCTCTAAAAGAAAGGGGAAGTATAAAATATATTTTGTCTTTATGCAGAGCAAACTCCAGGGTCAAATTTCCCTTCAGTTCACTTCCTCATCCCCGTCTCCTCTCTCTTTCCCTTCTCTTTCCTTTCTTTCTCACATCTTCTAAGCCATAGAATCTTCAGGAAGTAGGTTAAGGGTGAAGGAATGAAAATTCAAATGGCTCATCTTCAACTGACCCCTCCTGCTCCTCAGTATGTGTGGGTGTATCCTATGAATAAGTTTTCCAGAAAGTCCCGAGTAGCCAATATTGCTGAGATCATGAGAGAACAATTCTCTGATCTTTGGATCTTCCCTATCTCCCAGCCATCCCCTGGCTCTCACATTCTTCTTCAGCCTTCCTTCCCACCCCCCACCGCTTTAACCCTTTTCGGGCTTGTACTTCCCTTAATTTTAGCCATTCCATTTGGGTTTCTGCATTGAGGGGGGAGGAGTACTCACAAAATAGTTAGATCTTTGTCTTGCCATAGGATTTTATGCTAACAGATGTCTACATAGACTATATAGTACTCCAACTGAGGACTAATCAGTTTTCCTTTTCTGTTGCCTTAAGTATATTTCATGCCTTGGATGTGAGGCAGCACATAGCAGGGATAAGGAAATCCTGAATTTCCACATCAGGAAAGCCAGGACATCTTCCTTTCTACTCTCCTCCACACCACTGTGCTCCCACCTGGACAGATCTGAGTCAGGTCAAGTGTCTGGACTGTGCTCCAGCTTATCACCCAATGGGACACTAAGACTTCCCATGGGGACTAGAAGGCAAACTTGCAACTATTCTTGATGTTACCACTCCTGGGGCTTCTGTTGAAAGAATGTGATAATATGGTCCTAATCTGGAGTAAGAGATCAGCTACACATAACATGTTGCCAAAAAAATAATTCAAGGAATTTTCTCAATTGAAAAGTAACAAAAAATACTTAAGACTCTCCACTGGTTAAAGACCAACTATAGTAGGGCCTCCTCTGGTGGCGCAGTAGTTGAGCACTGGGCTGTGAAGCTGCCCACAGCCTCTGCAGCACCTGTTCCATCCCTGGCTGCCGGCGAGGGTCCCACATGGCACGGAGACCTCTCCTGCCATGCCCGCTGCTCCCCTCAGCAGTGTACTTCATCAGTCTGTATGTTCTGTTCCCCGCTCTGGCTCTGGTGAATTCTCTCACCCTCCCGTGCTTCTGACTGTACCCAGTGCTTATATAAATAAATAAATAAATAAATAAATAAATAAATAAATAAATAAATCTTTTTTTTTTTTTTTTTTTTTTAAAGACCAACTGTAGTAGAAGCTAGTGAGGGGAGCGTGGTTGAGCTGAGTTTAGAGAGGGTGCCTCATGTTGAAGCAGGTGTTTCAGAGCACAGCACTCTATGGGAGAGTAAGTACAGTGAAAACTCAGTAATCTGAACATCAATTTTTTTGAACTTTCCCATTATTCAAATGACTCTTTAAATGACTTTCTTTTCCCTGTTATGTCCTGACATACTAAAGTTGGAAATTTCTCATTTTTTTTCTTTAATCTTCAAGCTGTATTAGTGAAATTCACCACATATCTGAACACTTTTTGAGCTCTGACTTCTTTAGATAATTGAGCTGCCAGTGATGTTTTGAATTTAGCACTGGGTGGTGGTCTTATGCTGAGGTTTCCCACCAGATGAAAATTAGAAGGGAAATGGGACATGGCCAGAAAGCAGAACTAGTTCTGCACAAGGAAGTTGAGTTTCTACCCACTCAGGCTCGTGCATAATTGCAGTCAACACATAAGTCCATTACTGACCTAACTCCACAGAGTAAGTACATCTGAAGAGTACAGTCTACAGGTCAGCATGGATGTAAGTTTAAATCACGGCTGTCCTGCTGATTAACTGTGTGATCTTAAGTAGTTATTTAATTTCATTTCAAATGTCCCATTTGTAAAAGAAAAATAACTACCTTATCACATCATTAGGGTTGGCAGAATAAATGGAATATATGTACTTAGCAATGACTGGGAACCCAGTAAGTGCTTAATACACATAGATGTTATTATTGATTTAAAAGAAGAAGTCAAAGCAGCATAAAATTTTGGCACTACCATCAAAGGAGTCGTGAGCAATCTGCACAGTCGTTATATAATACAATGAAACACACAAATGCACATACACACACAAAACAGAAAGCACATGTGCCCAATGTACAATAAAACCCAAGTTGTCAAGGTTCACATCCTGAATCTGGGACTTTCAAATTGTGTGAAGTTGAAAAGATGACCAGTATTTACCTGCCCTCAGGTAAAAAATGGAAGTAATGATATTATCTATGTCACAGAGTTGGGGAGAATTAGATAAATGAATATATATGCAAGGTGCTTGAAGAAGTAACTAGTATGCAATGAGTACCAGCATTATGCCAGATGTGCCACCTGTAGGGGTACAAGAAAAAAAAAAGAGGAATATCAGTGATTGGAGGTAGCACATGGGCCATACAGATGATCACATTAGATAAGAAGGGAAATTCTCAAATTGGAATGACATGGGATATTTTGCTGGCTGATTCAAATAAGCTCCTAGTTTTGTTGCTATCACTGGGAGGGCAAGGACTTTTCCCCTTTTAAAAAAAGCAAAAATCAATATCATTTTCCATCTGAGCTCTACAATAAGTGATTGTTTTCATCTCATTGGTAAGCAAAATGACAAGTCTAATGATATCCTCGCATTTGCATGTTAGACAGACACCACCTTTCTCCTAGGGTTAAAGCTATCCTTTCCAAAATCTCTCCCCACTCACCCCACTTGTAAAGTTCTTCTTTACAAGGTTCCCAGTCTTAGCTTCTTAGAAGGTAAATTTGTAATTGTCAGTCCATTACTCAAACACTCATGCTGTCCTTGCTTGTTTGGAGATTAAGACAGTTGCCACTGTCTTGTCCTCTTAGCCAACCCCTCTAGCCCCTCCAAATAAAGAGAGGAGGACAAAAAAAATCCTTTGTGTTAGTAGAATGCCAAAATTTTAACTACTTTTCCCACAAAGTATTAATTTATGAGTGTCCACACCACAGGACATAGACAAACCAACTTCTCTGTTGGGTAAAAAGCATAGATGTGAAATGTTCAAAGTGTCATGTGCTTTTTCTGAGTTGTATCCTCAGATGTTGGTATCTACCCTCCTCCTGCATCAGCTTAACTCAGAAGGGGGGATTTACTGGCTCACCTAAATGAATATTTCAAGGGGCGGAATAAGCTTCAGACACAGCTGCATTAAGTGGTTCCGTGGACATCTTAGGAAGTTGTTGTCTCCATCTCTGGGTTCTGTTTGCATCTGTTTTATTTCAGTTTCAGACAGGTTTTCTCCATGTGGCACTAAGATGATCACTGGCAGCCCTGAGCTTATTCCATTTGTGTAGCTCAGGATTCCAGACACACAAGAATCTTTGACTAGGACGAAATCACAAATCTACTGCCTTGGGTTCAGTCCCAGGCCCACTTCTACTCACATCAAATGGAGTGAGTAAGCTTTCTTTCCTTCATTCTCTCTTTTTTCCTCTTTGGCAGATGTGGGGGTTTTGGGGTAAAGGTGGTTTTCCAGGGAAACAGGAAAATTACACAAGCCCATCATGCCTCTTGACACATGCACTTCTCCTCATCCATGATGATTAAATATCTACACGACAAACTTCCAGGTATTCAGGCACTAAGCACAGGGCTCACGGAAATGAGAAATGTTAAAAACAGATGTTTCTGACCCATTGAACAGAGGTGGCTGAAATTTTCCCCCAAATGGCATTCTGCTAAGAACCTCAACAGAAAGACTGGCTGCTTGATTTCATTCTTTCCTAATTTCAGTGTGTCTAAACCTTTAGGATCATGTTCTCAGAGTTTCCTTACAGATTTACCAACAAAGTGCTCAGAATTCCTAAGGCTATTGGAGTCATGAACATTCTGTGTGTGTTCACTAGCATGTCAGATCAGAAGAACCAACTGGGGATTCAGAAAATAAAAGTCCCATTTGAAAGGAGTCCCTTCTTTGGTTTTCATTTAGCCCACTCAGGCCTTCGGGGGCTCCAGAAACTCCACCTTCCGTCTCTGTGCGAGTGATAGATAGAGATGGCACAGGACTGTCTGCTATGTAAATTGATGGGAACAGGGTGAATCTCCCTCAGACAAATAGACAGACTGAATGATGTTAAACTGAACGGTAACGAGGGAGGAGAAATGATCATTTGTAAAGAGAAAAATGTTGAAGGGTTCTTTTGCCTGGCAAACATAAATACCCTGAAGAATAGAAAACTGTGGGTAGATGTGGGGCCTGCTTAATGCGGATCCTACATCAGGCGTTTGTAGGTAATATAAAACTCTGATGTGCTGTAAAATTTATATCGCTCCCCAAAATGATCTACTGGTAGAACATATAAATTTTGTAGAAACTGTTAAAGCTGTCATAAAACCTCATTGCTACAGATACAGTAGGTGTTTCAGAAATACGCACCAAAGCAGAGATTTGTAATCATTTCAGTGTGGTTCATAAAAAGAAGCACATTGTGCTTCAACATCAGAAACCACAAAGGTTCCCTTCTTCCCAAGGCCTGTTTTATCTTATTTTGCATACTTAAAGAAGAAACAAGCAGGGACAAATAAGCAGTCTAAATATGTCAAGGTAAGCCTTTCCTTACCTGCCCATGTTGTTAGAAAGGTGGGAGCAAATGATTATTTCTTTACCAAGTTCACATAGAGTTGTTGGCTCCGTTTAATAATAGTCGGTCTTGTTCAGGCCAAACAAACTGGTCCCTGTGGGGAAGAGAGGCAGTAATAAATCAATACCCTAGATGTAATCTTGGTCTCTAGAATGCAGAGAGAGATTTTGGTGCATAATGGCACTGGTTTGTCTATTGTCATTCAGACATGAGCTGCATCAGAAAAGGGCTTGTGGGAACCTGATAAGAGGTGGTCAAAAGTGGGCCATAAATCACAGAGAAGCAGTATTCGGCTGATTTCATACACACGCACTTTCTGGGGTGAAAAAAAAAGTGATAGATCTGCAATTTACTGCTTATCACATCTGCTAGAAGTTTCATGATACAAAAGGCTGACCTTCACTGAATAAACACCCTGGTTGACTACCTGCCTCAATGCAGGAAATACAGCGCTCCAGCCTCCCAGAGCTGGGAAGCCCTTCAGTGTCCTATTTAAGAAGCTGCCTTTGATTATGAGCCATGCTGTAGTTTTACTCAGAGCATCTCCTCCAACAAGGAGCGGGTGGTATTTATTGAAAGAAACTGGATACTTAACTCTAGGGGAACTAATGGGCTGACTGAGGGATCATATGGATTCCACACTTGTTCAGCACTTGTTAACGTTGTGCAGATCACTGGACCACAACATCTTCTCAAATAAAGGAGGAAGAGAGTGCAAGGGTAAGAGGCACAGGCGTGGGGAGGAAGCGAGGAAGTTGCTGCAGCCTGGGGAAGTGCACACAACTTTCCTAGGCAAAGAAAGGAACCACATGAAGAAGTGGAACAAAAATGAATTTAAGCTTGCAGTTCATCATGCTTTAACCTAAGTGTTGGAAGACTTCTGCCTCATATTTCTTCCGGGAAAAAAGTTTGATAACATTGACCTTTTTAACTTAACTTCAAAATTAAGTTATACATGATCCTGATTTCAATGTAGGATGGTTGTCCTGTCTGAAGTACGACTTTGATTTCTTTTGAGAGTCCTAAATTTTCTTTCTCAAAAGCTTCTGGAAAATTGATTCATTTGTTTTTCTGACCAAAATTGCTTCATTCAGCCCATCTTTAAGTTAATCACAAGTAAAAATATTATATAATTGGTTTAGGCCCAACAAAGTCCATCTCTTGATGGCAAGACCCAGGGTAAATGATCTTTGTATATGCCTCAGGCCCAAATACTATGATTTGCCTATAGTAAATGTTCTATCATTTATTTAATTCATTTATTTAAAATGTATATTGAACACCTATACTTTTCTGGTTCTCAACACTAGGTATTTATCAGTAAAAAAATATTTTTTTTCAATGGAAACACCAAAATTTCCTGGAACTCTAGTAGGGGAGATATTTTACTATAAGCAAATAAGCAAAGCAGGTGATAAGTTATTTGTCAAATCTCATGATCTTAAGTTTAACTGATTTCACAAGAATGAGAAAATAGGCGCAAATTCACGAGTGTCCTACTAAACCAGGTGTGAGCTGACTACCCCTCTGGTACAGAGGATGTCTCCAATGGACACAGAACATGCTCGAGAATTTTAAATTACTACACTTTTCGTTTCCTTTTCCAACTTTGATCTGCTTGATCCTCCCCTTGTGGGTTTGGGGTTTCTTGATCTTTGCCTCTTGTGATTCTGCTTTGATAATTTGCTGCTCTTTTAGCCTTTTGTATTGACTCAATTGGCTGATAGTTGTGTGTCATTTTCTTTGGTGTTATAACCACAATAAGTGATCTACTGACACAGTGTTGAGAGCTCGGTAGTAACTTAGCTGTTCACAGATGTGGAAACTGAGCCACCTAGGGTCCAGTGTCATAGTATGGCTAAAAAGTACTGGGACATGATTCAAATAAGCCCCTCTTAAACAAATCTAATATGAATTCTGCCTCTTTTCAGAAATGTTTTGTATCATATTAAATATGTCTGTCTTAAGACAGTAGAAACCATGTTACTTACCTCATCTCTTCCCCACACCTCTGGTACCTAACATTGTCCTGAGAGTAAAATAAGATCTGCTAATTGATGAAAAGTATTTTAATTGACAAGTTATTGACTGCAGAGAACTTCTTGCTTGTGTGAAAGCAATAAATGACACTGTTAGAACAATATTTTTCTAAAAGAAAATAAACAGTTATTTTCAACTAGGTGACAGCAAAGATATTCAAATAATAAATGAATTTACTCTGATGGCTATGCAGATAATTATTAATGTGGCATCGAAGCATTTCCATCAGTTATGTGGACATGCACTGGCTCTAGCAGTCACATTGTAGAAGCATCAAGCCTTTAAAAATAGTGATTAGGGAACAACATGGATCATCATTTTAAAATAACTCTTCTTCATGGCTTAAAGTACAACTGTTAACAACAATCATAACAACTCAAGTTTATGGTCGTAGAGTGAGCGCACCGAGCAGTTGCTGGACTGCCTGACACTCACGTGGGACACAGAGGCCATCAATCTGCCTCCACCATTCAAATAACGCACACCCACTGCAAATGCCGCAGAATTTATGCCACCCGTGAACAGTCATTAATTTGGATGACCAGCACCCCGCTCAACCAAAATTAAAAAACAAAATATTTAATATACTTCAGTATGATTTAGTATATATAAACATGGTGATCATAAATCAAGAGAATTTCCCCAACAGGAAAGGCATAAATTCTCCAGATCCATTTAGAAATCTAAACAATTCATGCTCTGGCCCTAACTGTCATGGGATCTTGGAATTGTGGTGTTATGGGAACCTGGAAATGTGTGCGCACCCATCCTCAATCCTCTTCTGCAAGATTTTCTCTCAAAAAGTCCAGACACAGGAAATAAGTGTCCGTGACCTGCAGAGAAGGGACACTGAATAGTTTGTGTATTTTTATAAGTCCTACGATATAGTTATATAATACATATAGTCTCCCATAAAATAGTTTTCATAGATCAGTAGAAAACAGCTGCTAAAGCAAACAGAATCTGAAATGCAGAGTGACTAAAATGCACTAAAAGTATCTTTCTTGTTCACATACTGATAGAGTATATGCACTTTGTTCATGGTGATTTCCTTCTGTCAGAGGAACTACATGATGATTCAATAACCCAGAATGATCAAGGTTTAATCATTTTCAACACATAAGTTTTCCAACAGAGACCTTTCCCATCCTTGTCATCCTGAAGAGTTTAGAGAAGCATGTGTAGAAGATTTCCACAGACTATCCCTGAAAGTGTTTTTTATCACTTCTACTCTATGGTATTGGCTGGGACTCTGCCCCGTGGTGAACCTAGCTGTAAGGGAGAGTGGCCAGTGCTTTGTGGCTCTGTGTTCAGAAAAGGAAGAACATGAATTTTAGTGAACAACTAGCCATTAGTGAATTAGTGACAAATGTTCTTTGCTCTACAGAAACTTTTCCCAGAGTTGTCCTTCATCAAGCTTCTCAATACCTCCAGTTCTCTACTAGTACTTGTCTGTGTATTCATTTTGGTGCACAGTTAAGATTCAGAAGAAGAGAGGAGAGGACAGAGAAGGGCTGACTGACACACTTCTCTTTTCACTGATGTCTGGACCTGGACTCCATCTTTTATTACCACTTAAAAGAAGCTGTCTTAATTGCATTGAAAATAGAAAAATAACATATTTATGATGCTCACTCTGCATTTACAGGAAAATTATTAAATCAGTCTTCAGTCTTCTTACATCCTCACTACCTGTCAATGCCTTTTTCTCACAAGTCTCACATGCAACCAGGTAACCATATTCATAGCTTACCACCAAGTCCTTCCCCATCTGCAAGTATTAAAGCATGGTAGTACACTCACGCTCTTTCAGCAAGACTCACTGTCAAAATAGACACCCACCCAATATTTCTGGAAATTCACTTTCTAATAGTTTGTTGAAAATTTCCTAAATTTGCTTATGAAAGATCTCACATCCTTTCTACTTAGCTCACTTTGCCGTTCCTCAATATAACAGAGGTTAAATTAGATTCCAAGCTGAGAATGAATGAGAAGGTGTGATGGATTTCCAAAGTAAAGGAAATTTGTTGGGTCCTTTTATGTATTCGAGAGACCACAGCTACAACAAGAAATATGAAATACTCTTGAAGAGTTCCCCCTGAGGATTCAGCTGGAGTTTTCTAAGTTTAAAGAGTTAATGTCAGGACATCATAAAACTGTATTTGAATACTCCATTGATTCCTGTTACTGCAAAGGCCACCTTGAGCTTAGCACATTGACTTTTGTGCCTATAATACTTGTGTTAGGGAGAAAATCTCTCCCTACGTAGATCTTTGAAATTCATTGAAGAAATATGAAATAGTATTCCAGGCACTTATAAGGGCTTCATTTCATTCCACTATTTCTGAGTGTACGGAAAGTATTTTATATAGTCAGGCTTTCCTACCCTGTTTTCCCCTTCCAATTCCTTTACTTCCCTGCCTTCATTTTTCTTCATTTCTGATGAATGTTTTCCTTCTTTCTCTTCTAATATACAAGAGACAGAATTAGTCCAGAGTCAAAAAGAGGGAAGGAGAAGTCCTTAGTGAGTTTTAACACCCCCTACCTCACTTGCAGTCTGAAATTGGCCACTAGGAGAGAGTTTAGATTGGCCACCTTCCTCTTGAATCTTCCTTTCTAAATTTGTGCAGATGTCAATGACACCATGGGTTCCATGATGGTAGATTTTAACCCATAAAACCAATGTTGGCAAGATCTCCAACTGCTACTAAATATATTGTCAGGAAGTTACTATTGGGAATTGATTCTAAATAATACAGGTATTCCCTTATACAACAGTTGTCTCCAAATCTCCTAAACTTACTCATGAATTAAAACAAATATTCATGCTGGGAACAGTTACAAAATTTAGGAATTCCATTATGTCATCATAATTTGATTATCTCCTTCTCAAACTACTAAATGTCATCAGGGTATTGTAGTAGAAGTCTTCTGGGATTTTGCAGTAAGAAACCTTGCATTTAAATTTGCACATTCTGGGCCTCCCTGGTGGCACAGCGGTTGAGCGTTGGGTTGCGAAGCTGCCCGCGGCCTCTGCGGCGCCGGTTCGA